GTTCTTGAACTCCTGACCTCAAGCGATCCTCCTACCTCACCCTCACAAAGGGCTGGGATTATAGGCGTGAGGCACCATGTCTAGCCTACATCTAATAACACTGATATGGTAATTGTCAATTTAGGATAACATGATTTGCATTTATGGCCTGCTTAACACTACACTGTGGTTAGGACTAGCACCAGACCACAAAGGAAAAAAACTGTTGTGCACATAGCTTGTTCTATTTGAGTAACTGACTCTTGGGAGCCACTGTGTTCTTTTATTGGTGTTTATAAACTGTGCTACACTTTAGTTAATTTTGTGCCTATAATACATCAATTCATTTCAGAGTTTTATTTATCATAAGTGGCTGGTAAAAGGTAATAACAGCCTGGGCAACTTGGAAAGACCTCATCTCTACAATAAATCAAAAAATTATCTGAGTGTGGTGGTGCATGCCTAAAGTTCTAGCTACTTGGAAGGCTGAGGTGGAAGGATCGCCTGAGCCCAGCAAGTCTAGGCTCCAGTAGCTGTGAGTGTGCCACCGCACTCTAGCCTGGACAACACAATGAGACTTCAACTCAAAAAAATGAAGGAAAAAAAAGGACTAAGATTATGCAAGAAAGGCTCTGCTAGTGAGAGTACTGGTGATGAGGAAAAGAAAAGCCAATACATGAGCAAAAAGCTCAACTCAATCATGTTTTTTAAAGAAGCAAAAGGAAATGTGGTATTAGTTGTACTACTAAGCTTAAAAGAAGTTCATGGCCAGGCACCGTGGCTCACACCTATAATCCCAGCACTTTGGGAGGCCAAAGTGAAAGGATTGCCAGAGCCCAAGGGTTCAAAACCAGTCAGAGCCCAAGGGTTCAAGACCAGCCAAGACCTCATCTGTACAAGAAATCAAAAAATTAGCCGGACATGGTGGTGCGTGTCTGGGGTTCCAGCTACTTGGAAGACTGAGGTGGAAGGATCACCTGAGCCCAGCAGGTTGAGGCTGCAGTGGCTGTGAGCATGCCACTGAACTCCAGCCTGGATGACAGAGTGAGACTCCAAATCAAAAAAAAAGGCCGGGCTCGGTGGCTCAACCTGTAATCCCAGCACTTTGGGAGGCCAAGGCAAGTGGATCGCCTGAGACTGCGGGTTCAAGATTAGTCCAGCCAACTTGACGAGACCTCATCTCTACAATAAATCAAAATTAGCCGGGTGTGGTAGCGCACACCTGTAGTTCTGGCTACTTGGAAGGCTGAGGCAGACAGATCGCTGGAGCCCAGCAGGTCGATGCTGGGGTGGCAATGAGTATGCCACCACACTCCAGCCTGAGCGACAGAGTGAGACTCCAACTCAAAAAAAAAAAAGTTTATAGCAGCATAATTCACCATAGCCAAAAGGAGGAAGTGGACCAAATGTCCACTAACAGATGAATGGATAAACAAAATGTGGTATATACATACAATGGAATATTTTTCAGCCTTAGAAAGGAAATTTTGACACTACAATATGAATGAATCTTGAGAACAGTGAAATAAGCAAGTTACAAAAAGACAAATATTATATTATTCTATTTATATGAGGAACCTAGAGTAGTCAAATTCATGAGAAAGCCAGAAAGCAGAATGGTGGTTGCTATGAGTGAAGGAAAGCAGGAATGGAGAGTTACTGTTTTGTTTTTTCTTTTAAAGGATTTTTTTTTTTTTTTGAGTTGGAGTCTCACTCAGTCGCCCAGACTGGAGTGCAGTGGCCACTTCCGGCCACCGCAGCCTCGACCTGCTGGGTTGCAGCGATCCTTCCGCCTCAGCCTTCCAAGTAGCTGGAACTACAGGCGCACGCTACCATGCCTGGCTAATTTGTTTTTTGTTTTTTTTTAATTTACTGTAGAGATGAGGTCTCACCAAGTTGCCCAGGCGGGTCTCAAACTCATGGGCTCAGGCAATTCACTCACCTCGGCCTCCCAAAGTGTGGGATTACAGGCTGAGCCACCAAGCCTGGCCGAGAGTTACTGTTTAATGGGTATAGAGTTTCACTTTGGGTAGATGAAACATTCCAGAGAAGGTTAATGGGGATACTTACACAACAATGTGAATATACTTAATGCCACTGAACTGAACACTTAAAATTATAATGGCCACCAGGTGTAATGGCACATGCCTGTAATCCCATCTACTGAAAAGGCTAAGATGGGAGGTTGGCTTGAACCAAGAAGTTTGAGTCCAGCCTGGGTCACATTAGCAAGACAAAACAAAAAGGGAGGGATAAAAATGGTAAATTTTATGTTATTCTTATTTTATACCAATTTTTAAAATAAACTAAGAATGTAAACTGGATTGTTTTGGAAAATAGTTTGACAGTTCCTCAAAATATTAAACAGGAGTTACCATATGGCCAGCAATTCCACTCATAGGTATATAACCAAGAGAATTGAAAATATATATCCACACAAAAACTTGTACATGAATGTTCATAGTGACATTATTCATAGTAGTGAAAGGTGGAAACAACACAAAAATCTATCAACCAATCACTGGATAAGAAAGTGTGGTGTAAAAATTAGCCAGGAAGTGACATACTCCTGTAGTTCTAGCCACTTGGGAGTCTGAGGCAGAAGGATTGCTTGAGCCAAGAAGTTTGAGGTTGCAGTGAGGTGTGATCAAACCACTGCACTCCAGCCTGAGTGACAGAGCGAGACCCTGTCTCTGAAAAAACAAAAAAACAAAAAAATGTGGTATAGACTTTCAATTGAATATTATTCTGCTATATAAAGAGTGGAAGGGCCAGCACTTTGAAAGGTGGAGGCGAGAGGATTGCCTGAGCCCAGGGGTTCGAGATCAGCCTGGGCAACTTAGTGAGAACTTGTCTCTAAAAGAGATTTTAAAAAGATTAGTGAGGCATGGTGGCGTGCACCTGTAGTTCCAGCCACATGAAAGGCTGAGGTGGAAAGATCCCGAGCCCAGCAGGTCAAGGCTGTGGTAGCCATGTGTATGTCACTGCATTCCAGCCTGGGCAACAGAGTAAGACAGCACTCAAAAAAAAAAAGAAAGTATCAATTCATGCTATAACATGGATGAACCTTGAAGATATGCTAAGTTGCTGGACACAGTGGCTCAAGCCTGCAATCCCAGTAGTTTGAGAGGCAGAGGCGAGAGGATTGCCTGAGTCCAGTGGTTCAAGACCAGCCTGGACAATCTGGTGAGACCTCGTCTCTACAATAAATAAAAAAATTAGTCAGGCATGGCGGCACGTGCCTATAGTTCCAGCTACTTAGAAGGCTAAGGCAGAAGGATCACCTAAGCCCATCAGGTTGAGGCTGCAGTGGCCATGAGCATGCTACCGCACTCCAGCCTGGGCAACAGAGTGAGACTCCAACTCAAAATACATATATATATAAAATGCTAAGTGAAAGAAGCTAGACATAAAAGGTCACATATTGTATGACTCCATTTATGTGAAATGTTCAGAAGGCTAATCTGTAGAGACAAAAGTAGATCTATCCCTGCCAGGAGCTGGTGGGGTGGTGGGTAAGAGTAACTACTTAATGGGTATAGGATTTCTTTCTGAGGTCATGAAAATGTTCAAAACCTTGTGGTGATGGCTGCATAACTCTGAATATACTAAAAATCACTAAACTGGATACATTAAAAGGATGAATTTTATGGTATATGAATTATAGCTTAATAAAGTTGTTTTTTACAAAGGCAATAGACAGCCAATCACAGTGGCTCATGCCTGTAATTCCAGTACTTTGGGTTGGTGAGGTAACAGGATTGCCTGAGACCAGGAGTTTGATACCATGGTGAGAACTTGTCTCTACAATAAATTAAAAAAACAATTTAACCATGGCACACACCTGTAGTCCTAGCTACTTGGAAGACTAAGGTGAACAGAAAACATGAGCCCAGCAGGTAGAAGCTGTGGTAGTCATGATCATGCCACTGCACTCCAGCGTAGGCAACAGAATGAGACTCCCACTGAAAAAATAAAATAAAAAAGCTATAGAAAAAGAAAAATAACTGGAGGCAGAACAAAGATGAGAGATGGAAGGTAGAGAAAAAGTATGAGCACGAGATGAAATGTCTTCCACAATAGCATTTGAAAGACACTGACTCAGATGAGTCCTTTAGCCAGGCATTAGATGGTACCGCTGTACCAGAATGATTAGTTGTTCTTCAGTCAGAAACAAAAGGAAAAAAGACAAAGAAAACATCAGCTCAGTTAGGGAGCTAGAACAGTTGAAACTACACTCAGAATTCTGGCATTCCATGAGGTAAACAGTCAAAACTGAACATTTATAAAGTTTTCCCAATTTTGTATAAAGTGTTATTTAATTTGTACTTCTACCCAATCCAAAAAGAAAAAAAAAGCTTTTTAATTGTATGGAATTTGCTCGAAAAATTATAAAATATGGTATTTCTTGTATGCTAACAAGGGCAAAGATAAACATTAATGATTTAAGTGGTAAATTAATGTCAACAGACGATACTTGGAGATTGTTTGCGTTTATCCTCATGGACATGTATACTTATAGTTATGATTTTATGGCATATAAACAGAGCTCATATGTCTAATCAGTCTAAACTTATAACTAAATACATAGTTTTATGTAAAAATCATATTCCTGTCATATAATTAAATAAGTTTCATATCATACCATCATCTTGCTCAGAGATTATCATGACTGGCAGGACTTATCCCCTCAAGCTCAGTGAACCACTGCCCTATAGGTAGCTATATTCTCTTGGAATTTCAGAGGTTGCCACAGTGGCTTGTACCTCTGAACTCAATGATTATTTTTTAAAGGTTAGAGGGAAAAATTAGCCACAAATTTCGCTATTGGTACAATCTCTCCAGTATGCATAACCAAGCTTCGAATATAACAAGTTTCTAACATTCTCCAAACTTAGTACTTAATAATATAATTATTATGTTCTATTTCTACGAGAAATACTATCAGAAAATCCTTTTAAAAGGTATCCAGTTTAAAGGATTTTTTTTTAAAGAAAAGGCTTATTTATTTTGCAGTTTACCTCGCCTGCTGAATTAGGATGATTAGTCTTGATTTCATACTCCAGCCTGTACTGAATGTAATCCAGATCAGAATCAGCTTTCTGGAACTAAAGATCAACATAAATCATTATTGTGTAAATCTAAAGACTTATTAGTAAGCATGATACTCTATTCTTTATTCTGTCTTTCCTCTTTACATTTGTGTTTTAATAATGTGATATACACTCATTTGAAAATGTGGAAATAAAAAAGTATATAAGACTCCCATTATCACCAGGCACGATGGTTTACACCTATAAACCCAACACTTTGGGAGACGGAGGTAGGAGTATCACTTGAGCCCAGCAGTTCGAGACCAGTCTGGGCAACATAGCAAGATCTCTCTCTACAAAAAAATCAGTCGAGTGTGGTGGAGCGCCTGTAGTACCAGCTACTCAGAAGACTAAGGCTGAGAAAGAAGGAGCCCAGGAGGTGGAGGCTAGGGTGAGCCATAATCATGCCACTGCACTCCAGCCTGGGTAACAAACTGAGACTCTAACAACAAAAATAAAATTATCAATAATACCTATTCTCTAGTAAAACCTTTTCAACTAATTAACATTTTGAAAGTCATTTATCTATGACTTTCTCTTAGATTTTAAGCCAAAATTAAGATACTAACTAGCCATTGTCATGTATTAATACAAAAAACTAACAATGACTTCAAGAATTCCGTAGGGTCACTGACACTCTCATCAGTTAGGCAGTGTGTTTCCAGGAAATATGGCTTCAAGTTAAAATACAGAACAAATTTATTTTGGAAATACACTGTTACCTTTACTTGCAACCCCAATGACCAAAGAGCTACTGATATGTACCACCAAAATTAGTGGTACAAAAACTAGTTTCCAGGGCTTATGGAGTCACAAATTACTCAAGAAAAGCTACATATGGTACAGGAGTAACAGTCTGAATAGCCCTTATTTACTGAACCTGGGTCCTAGCATGGGATCTTCATCTGTAGTAAACATCTAAGAGAGAAAAGAAGGGGAGAACTGCCACAGGCCGTTGGGGACATAAAATGACTGAATCAGACTGAAAAGTTACATTTAAAAATATCTATATTTGTTTCCGGCATGGTAACTCACACCTGAAATTCTAGCACTTTAGGAGGTGGAGGCCAGAGGATTGCCTGAGCCCAGGAGTTTGAGATTAGCCTGGACAACTCGCCCCACAACCATAACTTAAAAAATTAGCCAGGTGTGGCAGCACACACTTGTAATTTCAGTTACTTGTAAGGCTGAGGTGGAAGGATGGCCTGAGTCCAGCAAGTTGAGGCTGAGGTAGCCATGCCACTGCATTCCAGGCTGGGCTACAGAGTAAGACTCTGACTCAAAAAATAATAATAAACAACATTTGGAATACCATGCAGTTTTTTTAAATGGTGGTATGCAAACAACAACTATTAGGGGTAGGCTTTCACTTTTTACTTTATGTATTTCTGTAGTATTTGTAATAAGCAGGTATTATTTTATCATTTTTAAGGTATATTTATTCTTTTTTTTTAGTTAGAGTCTCACTCTGCCACCCAGGCTAGAGTGCAGTGGCAGGCTCACAGCCACAACAGTCTTGACTCGCTGGGCTCAGGGGATCCTTCCACCTCAGCCTTCTAAGTGGCTGGAACTACAGGTGCATGCCACCACACCTGGTTAATTTTTTTATTTATTGTAGAGACAAGGTCGTGCCAAGTTGCCCAGGCTGGTCTCAAACCCCTGAGCTCAGGCAATTCTCTGCCTCCCAAGGTGCTGGGATTACAGGTGTGACCCACCACACCCGGCAGGATTTCTTTTTTTTTTGAGTTGGAGTCTCACATTGTCACCGAGGCTGAAGTGTAGCAGCATGCTCGCAGCTACCTCAGCTTCGACCTGCTAGGCTCCAGCAATCCTTCCACCTCAGCCTTCCAAGTAGCTGGAACTACAGAGGTGTGCTACCACACCCAGATATTTTTTATTTTATTGTAGAGACGAGGTCTTGCCAAGTTGCCTGGGCTGGTCTCAAACTCGCGGGCTCAAGCAATCCACTCGCCTCAGCCTCCCAAAGTGCTGGTATTACAGGCTGTGCCACTGATCCCAGTCTTAAATTTTTAAATGACAATGGAGAGACAGATTTGACATAGCACTATATTCATGACCTGTTAAATACAAAATAGCAATTTTACAATAAGAGGTATACGTGTATATGTGCATACATATAGAAAAGTTAGGAGGTATACCCAGTAGTGTTAAAAAGTGGTTTATTTCTGAATGTGGTATCATCAATATTATTATTCTTAACTTCTTGAAGTTCTGCATCTTTTGCAGGATCTAAAAGTGCATATTTGTTGCCTTGAGTTTATCAGATATAAAACCATGATCCTTAGAGTTCACTACAGAAGGCAAAACATGTTTTCCTCAGGCATGGTATCCCATTCCTAGCCCAAACCCTAGGAGACTCTCTGGGTAGAGGGTACAGACCTTACTATGAACTTCATCTCTAGAATAAAGATTGATTCTTGAAATTTTGAAACCTTAGTGGAAGGGCAAAAACAGTTAAAAGCAGTGCTGAGGTCTAATAAGAAGCAGTGTACAGCTAGGCACAGTGGCTCACATCTGTAATCCCAGCACTTTGGGAAGCAGAAGCAAGGATTGCCTGAGCCTCGGGGTTCAAGGCGAGCCTGGGCAACTTGGAAAGACCTCATGTCTACAATAATGGAAAAAAAATTAGCTGGGTGTGGTAGCATGAGCCTGTGTTTCCAGCTTCATGGAAGACTGAAGCAGAAGGATTGCCTGAACCCAGCAGGTTGAAGCTACAGTGGCCATGAACGTGCCACTGCACTCTGGCCTGGGCGACAGAGCGAGACGCCAACTCAAAAAAGATAAAAAACAAAAACCAACGAGTATCATTCCCATCAATGGTATGATGAAATCAACTAAACTGATTTTTTGCAAACCAATTGTTAAACACAGACATCATCACAAATTAAATTATACATACTTATAATTAAATATTTTAAAACAAAGATAATACATCAAATGTCATCACTTCTAATTACTGTACTATATTTAAGGAAATTCTATATAATGTACTATTATATATTCCACCATCAACAGGTGAAAGAGCCAGGTGTGGTGGCTCACGCCTGTGATCCCAGCACATTGCAAGGCAAAGGAGAGGATTGCCTGAGCCCAGGTGTTTGAAAGCAGCCTAGGCAACTTGGCAAGACGTTATCTCTACAATAAATCAAAAAATTAGCTGAGCATGGTGGCTCACGCCTATAGTTCCAGCTACTTGGAAGGCTGAGGCGGAAGGATTGCCTGACCCCAGGTCAAGGCTGGGTGGCCCTGAGCATGCCATTGGGCTCCAGTCTGGGTGACAGTGAGACTCTGACTAAAAAAAAACAAAGACAAAAACAAAAAACAGGTGAAAGAACAGAAATCACATGACCATATCAATTAATGCAGAGAAAACTTTGACAGTATTCAGCACAGATTCATGATAAAAACACTCAGAAAACTAGGAATAGAGCAGAATTTCTTCAACTTGATAAGCAACATCTAACAAAAACTATGACAAGTATCAAATTTAATGATGAAAGTGAATGTCTTTCACCTAAAATTAAGAACAAGGTAAGGATGTCTGTTCTCACCACTATTATCAATGTAGTACCAGAAGTTCCAGTAGTATCACAAGGGGAAAAAAGTAAATAAAAAGGAAAAGTTTACAGATCAGATAGGAACAAAGTAAAATGTTGCTCTCCATAGATGACATGATGATCTCCACAGAAAATTGTGTGGAATCTACCAAAAGAAAAACTCCTAGAATAAGCAAGTTGGGTTAGTCACAAAAGAAAAATAAATATATGCAGCATTTCTATATCCTAGGATGAATACACGCATACCAAAATTAAACATACAACACTATTTACAATGTCTCAAAAAACTGAAATACTTAGGAATGTCTAGCATAACATACACAGAATTTGTATACTAGGGTCTAAAAAATGCTGATGAAAGAAATCAAAGACCTAAACAACTAGACATACCATGTTCATAGTAAAGATGTAAATCTTCCCCAAATAGATGTATTGGTTAAAATAATTCCTATTGAAATCCCAGCAAGATATTTCTAAATATATATAAGGTTATTCTAAATTTTCTTTTTTTGAGTTGGAGTCTCACTCTGTCACCCAGACTAGAGTGCAGTGGCATGCTCCCAGCCGCCGCAGCCTCAACAGCTGGGCTCCGGCAATACTTCCGCCACCCAGACTAGAGTGCAGCGGCATGCTCCCAGCCGCCGCAGCCTCAACAGCTGGGCTCCGGCAATACTTCCGCCTCAGCCTTACAAGTAGCTGGAACTACAGGCGCATGCTACCACGCCCGGCTAATTTTTTTGGTTTATTATAGAGATGAGGTCTTGCCAAGTTGTCCAGGCGGGTCTCGAACCCATGGGCTCAGGCAATCCACTCACCTCAGCCTCCCAAAGCGCTGGGATTACAGGCTGAGCCACTGAGCCCAGCCTATTCTAAAATTTATGTAGTAAAACAAAACCACTACGATAGCTGAAACAATTTTGAAAAAGCAAATGGGTAGAGTCATTCTTTCCCATTTTAAGACTTATTATATAGCTACAGTAATGATGAAGACTGTAATGGTGTTTGCAGAGAAATCAAAACACAGACTAATAGAAGAGAAAACCAAAATATGACTCTACACATAACAGTCAACTGATTTTTGACAAAGGTACAAAAGGAATTCTATAGAGGAAAAGTCATCTTTTTAACAAATGATAATGAAGTAACTGGACATCCAAAGGCAAAGGAAGGAAGGAAGGAAGGAAGGAAGGAAGGAAGGAAGGAAGGAAGGAACCTTGACCTATACCTCACTTCTTCTACAAAAGTTAACTCAAATAGAGATCATACTTAAATATAAAGTATAAATTATGAAACAGAAGAATATGGGGGAAATCTTTGGAACACAGAGTACCTAGTAAAGAGTTCTTAAACTTGACACCAAAAGCATAATTTATAATGGAAAATAAGTGATCAATTAGACTTGATCAAAATTAAAACTTTTGCTCTCTGAAAGACCTT